AGAGAGAGAGAGAGAGAGAGAGAGAGAGAGAGAGAGAATTCTATGATAGTAGAATAGAGAGCATCCCACTCGCATTGTGAACATTCAGCAATCCAATTGCAAACCCGAAACCGACCCACTGTGTGTGGTTCTGTAGGAGATGAGGTGCCTTGTTGTTTAAAAAAAAAAACTGTAGGAGATGAGGTCAGTTGCAGGTTTTGTCTGACGCTCCTTGCAGAAGAGTGCATTACTTGTTGCGCCCATCTGAAAACATCTGCCCAACCAATGGGCCTAGCTCAGTTGGTACACCGAATGCACTGCTGAAATACAGACCCAAGTTCATATCCAGCTGCAATCAGATGCACAGAATAAAATAATTCTGAATTACCTAGGGGCCAGGGCCAGTCAGCTCAATAATGGTATATCAAGGCCGTCACCCGTTAAGAAAATAATAATAATCTTAAAGAAAAAAAACAACCAAACAACCCAAGTTACCCAACAAAACCAAACAAAACAAAACAAAAACACCTGCCGAAGATTCAAGGAATTCCGTGAGCTAATAATAAACCCAGCCGAAAATTTCCTCTGCAATAAGTCATAATTGTAACACGAGCTCTATCTTTAAAAAAAAAAAAAAAAAAAAAAAAAAAACAGAAGTTGAACGAGTATACTCTTTTTTTTTTTTTTTTCCCCCCCCCCCCCCCCCCCCCCCTCCCCCTCTTAAAGAGCTGCCATGGATCACCACCCATAGCATCGAGAAAGAGCTCTCGATCTGTCAATCTGCCAGTAAGGACTGACCTCTAGACTTGCTTGTGGCCAGATGCATCCAGGTGTGGCTGAGTGGGTAAGAGTACCAGCGGGGGTTACGTGCTGACTACAGAGCAAAGTGTACGAGAATTGTCGTGTCCATGGGTGTTGTGTGTGGTGTGTGTTGAGTTGGACACTACAGCCTTGCAGGTGTGGGGTGGATATCACGACCGGTACGATTCCACTTTTGAACACCGTGTCCTGGCTGTAGTGGTTAAGAGACTTGGCTCTTGAGGCCGAAGTCGCCAGTCCGAATCTGTGCTTGCACGGAGGAGGACTTAGGCCCAGACGTACGGAATCCATACTACTGTAATTGGGGTCAGATACATTAAGGAAAGTGCTAGTGTAAGTACGCCCTCAGTGAATGCAGAAATAGACCGGATTATGATCATAGTGAGAGAAGCTGTCATTTGACAGCTTAAACCACCAGTACATCCAGCTATCGGCCCCGTGGGACCTTTTCGGAGGCCGCCCGCCGCCGATTCAATTTATCTACGGCGCCGGGCGTCCAAAATTTCCGTAGGCGACGAGTTTTCTTTTCAGCAAGGCTGGGGCTGTGTACTGGCGGTTTAAGACCGAAAGTAAAAATTTGACATCTTGAAATTTTCAGAATTTGGACTGACAAAGCTAGAGAACTGAATGCACTCAGACCGGATTATGGTCTTTATGCACCGAGAAGAGAGGAAAGTTCAACCCCGAAAACAAAAAAGAGAGAGGAAAAATAAGGGGACGGACTCCGACGGAGATATCAGAAAAGGAAAAACAAAACAGAACAAGGGAGATGCAAAAGGGAAAAACAAAATCTGCGGCGACTCTTATAAGGGACGCTGGGCCCGGTTCCCAGCTTTCATATCAATAAAGATTGATCTTTTTTCTATAAAAAAAAAAAGAAAAAAAAAGGGGAAAAAAAATGGAATCTGTCCTTCGGGACATCCGTTAAAATTGGAACGATACAGAGAAGGAAGATTAGCATGCCCCCTGCGCAAGGATGCCACGCATAAATCGAAAAACGGTCCAAATTGAAAAAAAAAAAAAAAAAAAAGGAACATGGGGAGGACAGGAAACCTTTTTCTTTTTATGGCGAGGGCAGTAAACTTCAACAGCAATTTCGTTAAAATCGAGATATCCGTTTAATTGCACGACATTGAAATTCATTTTCTAAGTTCATTTTCACGAGGCCTCAAACACATTGTCCTCTGAATGTTCTTTGCTCTCTCTCTCTCTCTCTCTCTCTCTCTCNAAAAAAAAAAAAAAAAAAAAAAAAAAAAAAAAAAAAAAAGAGCTCGATCTTACTTGCCACATTTTGCTCAGTCTCAGCTCCTCATAACAACTTGCAACAGCAGCTCGTTGAGGAAAAGGTGAGTTTCTGGTGGTTTTCATTGGTAATTCCAAAGAGATCCTGTTTAAAGCTTAAGCCACCTAGTCCAGTCAATCCTCGCGAGCCTGCAATCAAACCTTTACATAAAGCCACTTTCACTACTGACCCACGCCCTAATGAAAGTCCTCTTAAGCTTCCGGCGCATACCGGTAAGAGCAGTGCTTCGCTTTGGCCGCTTTGGGTGACCTGGCGGTTCAAGAGAAATGAAATTTACATTGCCTAATATGCATCGGACCAGACCTAGTTTGAGACCATTATCGATGACCGAATTATACGAACAAATATAAGAATCCGGAAAAGCATCGAGGACCCACAAGCCATACCAGACCTGTACTTCTATCAGGCCTGCCACCTATCTCATGCCTCTTCTCCATCCCATCAGCAGTCCTCTTCAGCAGCATGAAAAAACACAGCATATCCTAATTCTCTACTTTCCACATGTCATGTAATGCCGACTTAACACCCTTGAGGTTCTTGAACATTTTTTAAGATCGGTCGCACCAAGTCATGTGACCACCAGGTCCTCAACATGGGTAAGCTCGACGCTTGATCTTGTGGCCCTCATAGGATGCAGTTGTCCCACTTCCTTATCTCTGATGATCGCTAATTGACTGCGCAAGATCCACCTTCCTTGCAACTCCCTCCAATACGGGTAGGATGCCTACACCAGGTGTCGTCATGCCAGGCCGTTCACGAGCATTCGGGCTGGCGCAGCGCAACCCCAAGTTTGCTACTTTACGAGCCAGATCAACATCCCAAATGCCTGCATTGGCGTCCAGAGCTCTCTCGAAAGCCGGCAGATCCTCTATAGAGTCTTCGATGACTTTGAATGCGTTTGAGAAATATCCGGTCAACATTTCCAAAAGAGTGATTCCAAATGCATAGACATCTGTCTTCTCATCAAAAACTCTGGACTGCCAATACTCGGGGGCAATGTACTGAGAGTTGTGTGCCGCAAACTCTGGTGCCACTGAGGTTTTCCCTTCAGCGTCTGGAGTCGTTGGGACAAGCAATGCCTGATCAACACCTCCTATCTTGGCCACAAAATTCTGGTCCAACAGGATGTTTGTTGGCTTAATGGCACAATGGATGACGGGACCACCACGAGAAGCGGATAGATCAGAGTGGAGAAAGTCCAGGCCTCTGGCAACCTCCGCCATTACCCGAAAGCGAGCATACCATGGAAGAGACCCTCCGGTGTGGTTTTCGCCTTGCACGATCCAATTCTTCAAACTTCCACGTTCCATGTGCTCATAAACCAGACAGCTCTCTTCATAGCAGACTCCTAGCAGCGTTAGAAGATGGGGATGCTGGAGCAATCTCAACCGATCGACTACCTCTGTCTTCATCTCGTTGCGATCATGAATGATCTGTGCACTAGCATGATCCCTCATCCTCTTTACTGCGATAAGAGTGCCATCACGTAGTTTCCCCGAGTATACATGTTCATGCCAATTACCGTCTCGACTCCTGAGGTTCACTTCAAAATTATTTGTTGCATCCAGGAGTTCCTTTCCCGAAAACTCTCGGAGCAAAGCAGTCCTCTCGCGTTTAGTAGTGATCTCTTTTTTGAATTTATGTTCCAGTTCATTAACTCTCTCTGTCAGTTTGTCCCTCTCGGACTCCAGCTGAGAGATCCTACTCTTACACCCTTCGAGGCTTTTGTGCATTGACATCGCTTCTGCCAATTTTGTCTCAAGCCTTACTACTGCTGCTTGCATGTCCACCTCCATCTTCTCAATCTTTTGGGTAAGCATTCTCTCCACTGCTCGATGATCTGCACTCATTTCGTCCACGACTTTCTTGCAGCCCGGCTCAACCCTTGGCCCCTCTTGCCTGATCCTGTAGTCAGACTCTAACGACGGAGTGGCTAGTACTGGATTCTCTCGGTCTTTTGTGAGAGACTGCCGGTGGTTCGGTTGAACTTCTTTTTCTTTCTGTTCTAAGACTTTTTCTTCTCTTTTTTTCACTACCTGCACTACGCGGAACTCTGCGTTACCTGCCAGAATGAGCATGTCAGATGTTTTACATGCTCCCATCCCGTTGAAGTCGCCATCCCAGGCACGGAAATAGGACGCCACTTCCTGATAGTTTGAATCGTTCCAAACTCGTATCTCTCCATCCTTTGCTGCTGTGAAGATGTACGGTAATCGCGGATGAAAAAGCACTGATTTGATGGCCTGCTTGCAAGCCTCCCATTTTGCCAAGCACACCCCCTTCTTATAGTCCCATACCTTGACGCTTCCTTTTTCTGAGTGAGATGATATGAGCAGTGATTTCTCAAGCCCATTGTAAAATCCAATTTGATTTATATAACCCTTGCCGGTATCCTTCAAGCTTTGAATAACCGATCTTTTGCCTAAGTTCCAGACCTTGATCGTGTCATCGCCGCCCGCGCTTGCAAAGATCTGTGGCTCCATTGGATGAAACGCCAGCCGAAATACCCAATTAAAATGGCCTTTGAGTACTACCTTCTCCCATCCGTGCTCCCAATGCCACATGAAAAAGTTCTGCTGGCAAAAACCAGCCAATAAGCAAGGTAAGGTGCGATGTGTGGCCAACGTGTACGCACGCTTGTCTCCGGTTTCAGTCGTTAGCACCTTGATACACCGCAAGTCTGAGCCGTGCCTTTCGTACACAGCAAAGCTCATGTGTCGCGTCACCACAATCCAGTCTTTCTGTGCGTCGTGTGCGATGAAGTCGGCGACCAGGGCATCGTCAACATCCGGGATTACCCAGGAGGCGACCCTTGTCCCGGTCTCGTGGTTCCACACATGAAGGGACTTGCAGTCAGGTGTGAATATCATCCATGGCTTAACAGGATGCAGGCGGATGATTAGATCAGCGGTACAACCACCGGGCATAATGTCCCAGCCCATCTTCCCATATTTCGGCACCAGTTGAAGCTCAGCTTCTGAATTACTGTCCCCCATGATTATGCCCGTCTTCCACTTCCTATTTTCCCTCGCAAGGGGCTCGAGGTACTGAACTGCCCGATTTCCCTTGCCCGCGATCAGCCACTGCACGAACTAAGGGGGCGGTTCACATTTAATTTAATTTTCTGGAGACATGGAGCGCTTCACATTTCTGGGAACATGGATAACCACCACATTTAATTTACTTGAAATGCACTGGGCCCATTTCCCAGCATGTTTCGTTTGGTACGACTTGCCAAATATAAGTTCAGCTACAAATCAGTTCACACAACTTCACACAACTTCACACAATTTCACACAACTTCACAGCTGTTGCAAAAAAGAACTGTTTGGCACTTACCACAGCGCGGAGAGAACCGATTGTTTCCACTCTAAGGCTTGTCTTGATCTCTTAAACCACGATCATACCCGTCTAGTATCTGAAGCAAGCTTAGCATAAGTCATGCCCGGTGCAGGCTCTTGCAGTCTTTTGCTCCATATTCGGTCTGAGACTCCATTCACAAGTCAAGTCCTCCTTTTTTGAAAACTTCTCGTCCTTCCTTCACCACCAGTTGCCTGCATTTATCGAACCGGGTGAACGTCAGAGCATTTATAGAGAGGAGTGGGGGTTGCAGCGAAAGAGACAAATATTAAGTCAAAATAAACGAATCTTAGACTCTGAGGCGGCTTCTTACATACAGCACTGTCTGTCTGATGTTGAGGATGAACAGTTTGACACAACTGACCATGTCTAGGCATATATCTAATACCAACTGCTAAAATATTCCTCTCAGACTGTCTCCTCACTAACTCATGTACATCATCCAATTTCTCTAAATTAATATCAATTATTCCTCAAATTCAGTCCAGTTACGAAGCTTGAGTGAAGCGGTGCTGTGCAGGGTATGGCGGGCCAGATCATCTGAACATGTGTCCAATGCATGCGGTTACTCGAAAAAGAACGAAAGGGAAAAAGTACTAAAACCCCACTCAGTGAAAAAAGAAAGATAAAAAGAAGTAAAAAAGAAGGCTGATGACCTCAGCTGCTCAGCAACCTGGTTCTGTAACAGTTTTTGTCACTGAAACAATTTGGGGCCATGCTGCTTCAGTCCCCAATTTGGGGCCATGCTGTTTCAGGACAAAAACTGTGAGTGCTCAGCAACCATTCACAGGGGATGGTAAAAAGGAAACAGAGATGCCTCGTACTTCTCTTCTCTTTTCTTTTTTCTCTGTTTTTTTTCTCTTTCTTTTGTACATTGTTAAAATGAAACAATTTGGGGCCATGCTGTTTCAGTCCCCAAATCAGTTTGGAGTGGGGAAAAGAACTTGCAGTCAACAAAATTGTACGGGCCTGAGTTTGGGATGCAAAGCGAACTCAGGTCACCAAATTTGTTCCACTCAGCAGTTTGGGCCCTTTCCTTCCTCCTCTCCCCCCCCCCTTTCTCCCGCTTGAATAGAATGTACTAAGCTTTCTACAGCCCTGGCTTGGTTGGCACGGCCATGAACTCTTCAAAATTGAAATACAGACCGCAGTTCGAATCCCAGTCAACTCAGATGAGCAAAATCCTTCTTCACCTCCGCCATTCTGGTCTTTAACTTTTTATTAGTCAGATAGATACAAATAAGATAAAAGTAAAAGAACTCAGATTACTGTTCACACTTAAAAACCCAGATCGTAACGAGACTGAAGGGTCTGGTTAACATGACAGGTAGTGTCAAATGTCAGAAAACAGTCTGGGAGGTTTCAGACTGAGGCAAACAGCCAAAGCAGTCAACGAAACGGCTATGTCTGAGCTTGGAACCCAATCGGAAATACAAAGTTGTTTTTGATCAGGCTCACTGCAGAGCCTTCCCAAAACCATTATTATTCCACAGCAAGGGACAGATATACTTTACTTACGCAATCAGAGAAAAAAATAAAACTAGGGCAGAATCAGCAGATCTCTTTTACCGCAAATGCTGTCTGGAAAATCCGTGCTCTAATCAAGATGGCCGGGGCACATCTGTGATCACCAAGGCGGATGGCCTAGGTTGCAGGGTTCCCATTGCACTTTGGGTCTCGCCTGGCCTAAGTCACACCCACTGCGGTGTTACTACGGCAGTATTTCTGGTAGCGGGGGCACGCGTACGCAAAAAGGAAAAAAAAAGGAATATGCCATTTGACCGACGACCTGGCATCTGATGCAGAGAGAAGTCATCATTGACGGACTAACCCTTTTCTGACTGCCTATAGTAATAATTGCCAACTGTCAGGACTGACTGACAGACCGAAACTGACGGCTGGGACAGACACCATGTACCGTTGGCACTTGCAGAACTGACTGGCGATCACATCAGGTCAGGGTGCCATCATCAGATTAGAATGGACTCAGAGAGGGATCAACACCAAACCAAGGATGACTGCTAACCAATCTGATCTCCACTGCACACAGACTGATGCTGACAGACTCTGACAAACACTGACAGGGTCTAGCATCGAGCCAGGAAATCCACGGAACGAACTCACATGAGCAAACCTTGATTGAAGATATCTGGTTGGTCAACAGTTGACAAACCACTGCAGAAGTTTATTGTATAGCAGTCTGACCGACTCTGACGTCAATGTCAGACCTGCAGCGAATCTTCCCTGAGTCTTAGAACCAAAGAGCTTGTCAAAGTAACCCCAGCAGCGGCCCAAATTGTTGTCCCCTGCCGTCTGCGGACAGGGTTTGGGACTTGAGGGTCACCCGACACTCAGGTCTACTGTGCCACGTAGGGTTGACACACCAGTCAAATCCACTGTCGCATGCTGAAACTTCAAAGGATCGTTCCACTACTCCCCAGCTCTTTTTCTTTTCTTTTTTCGTTAATTGCGGTAATTCTCCCTTTGCACACTACCTTTCACCACCTCTCACCAACGACGGTCGTTGAAGAGAGCGGACCACATGTCCCTACTCCAACCGCCGGTCAGAAAGGAGGTTGCCACTCAATTCCTTGCCGGTGGCACACAGTCGCAGCTCCAATACCAACTGTTATGTACCCAATTGAGATTCAATCCACAACAAAACCCGGAGAGAAGACATGCATAGCGGAAGCTCAAAATAGTTGAAAATACACAGAGAATTGAAAAACGAATTTCAATTCTGCAATCCCCCGTCCTCCTCCAATCATCCATCCGGAGAACTTTTTCCGAAAATCACAACCGCGTTGTCAACAACCCCGAACAACCAAAAACAAATGTTCAACGAAGTATGCAGGAGTCTTCTTCTTGAAGTTCCTCCTCGCCACCTCATACCCCGGGCTATGGCTGCCGTAGCAGCAGTAACCTCACAGCTGTCACAATGTGCCAATCTGTTACATGCCCAGTTGGGCGATGCACATATAAACCAGGGATCCGTAATGTGATGAAAGGGACTGAATGGACAATGCAGTGCAAGTGAAATCTCAACGAGCAGTGTACATTCTGATACATACAAAATGGTGCTTTACAGCGCAGTGGAAGACTTAGATACAAGTCCTGACCTGACCGGGACTGACCTCTCTCACGTAGTACAAGATAGCGCAGCAGAATACTAGAATACTACTGACTAACCCAATCAATATTACAACGCGGACCAAACATACATCATTCTCACCACACGGTGTGAAGGGAGCCTGGCGCTATACACAGGATTCTGGAAGAGGCGCCAGGTCCATTTCATGCACAGACGAAGAGCAGAGGATCAGACGGAGAAGAGGAGGGGAGAGATGGGAAAGTCGTCAACACCAAGTCTCGTTACAAGTACCAAATAATCCCTCGTCAAAATGTCTGAAGTCCAATGTCGAGTCTGGATCCAAATGTTACCAAGCTCTCTCTCTCTCTCTCTCATAGTCTGCTGATGCAGTGAGATCAGATATCGAGAGGGTGAGAGGAAGATGGTGGACTGAGAAGAGGAAGAAGAAGAACTCTCTCTCTCTCTCATATGCCAGGTACTAACCAGGTCCTGTGAAGGTGGCGCTGGGCTGCAGGTACCTTGAAGACGAAGCTGGAGCGATGGCGCTGCAGGTAAGTCCCTCTGGCCTCCGCTCAATCTCTCTCTCTCCATGGTACTACTCTAGCTATGGCGCCCAGCGCTGAAGACTACTGCTAACACTACAAAGCGCCCAGCACTGGAGACTACTGCTAGCGCTGCTACTTCTACTCCTGCAGCGCTCCTCCAGAGTGCTGCTGCCGAATCCTGAAGACTACCTCCTGCCTCCTGAACTGCACGTGAAGTGCCTGGGAAGTACCTAGGAACTACCTGCAGCCTGCAGCCTGCAGCCTGCAGGGCAGGCCAGTCCTTTATAGTGCTGGCCCGTCCAGGAGGCTGCTCTTGCCAATGCCAAAACGTGCCATACCCTGGGCCCGGGGTTGAAGCTCAAACGAAGGTTGTCTTGAAAATACGCCAAAAATGGCCTGAGCTAAAACCCTGGTTTGGTGCCTGAGTTCCGGGGCAAGCCGAACTCGTGAGGGCCCGGAAATGGCCCTCAATTTCAGGCTGAAAACACTCAGGGCCGGAAAGGCCCTGATTTAGCCTGAAACGACACAGGGCCTGTAGGCTGTAGGCCCTTGTTTTCAGGCTTTTGGCCTGAAAACGTCACGGGCCTGGAAATGGCCCGTGCAGCCTGTTGCAGGCGCAGCATGTAACACAATCTGAACCAGCAACCCCAA